GGCTCTTAACGAAAAGACGTCGGTTGTAAGAGAATCGTCTCAACACCTGCATTTCATTCTCGTTAGTCACGTCTTTAGGCTTCATATCTACTGTACGATGTTTTCAATTATTGTAAGATTTCAATAAATCAGCTAGAATGTCGATCCATTTGTAATTACCTTGTAGACTGAATTTTTTCCACATGACATTTTTTAGCGTGCAATTGAAACGTTCACAAATAGATGCGTTAAGATTGCTATAGGTTGAATATAGATTTATTTTATACTTTGTCATTAGTTTTTGAAAATTTGAATTGTAGAATTCTTTGCCGTGGTCTACAAGTAGATTTCTAAGAGTGCGTCCTTTTCTTAATATCGACTCCATTGCATAAGCAACATCTACACTAGTTTTTTGTTTCACAGGAACTGCCCAAGCGTACTTTGAAAATATATCAATGACAGTTAATAGATATTGAAAGCCTTTGTTCTATCTCGAATAGCGTTGCATCTCTACAAGATCAGCTTGCCATATCAAATCTATTCCACGTATCTAAATTTTTCTACGAGGATAGTTTCGACGTGCTAGTTTGTGTAACTAATTACCGCAGAAGAATTAACCGCAGAAACTCCTTCGGATTGTGCTTAAACAGCGTCAGACTTTGCTCTGAAGTTGTCTCACGGTTGCGCTTGTTGTCCGGAGTGAGCAAACACGGCACCCATCGCGCCGACAGCTTTCTCATGCCCAAAATTTCATGTAGGACATGACCCACGCGGTCTAGCTATTTTATAGTTAGGAAAAATACCTCTTCCATCAATAGTCGATTTTCGCTTCTTAGCGCTACTGCTCAAAGATAAATTTGGACCAATATACTTTTTGAATTTATTAACATGCTTATTGCGATATTCTCCATTTGTTTCGTATCTCTTTCGATGAGCGTTAGTGATTTTAAGAATTTTTATATAATTTTCAATATCCGATGAACTGATTAATTTAGATTCAAGTTCTTTACGAAAGAGAAGTTCCATTAAACAAGGAGTGTTGCTGTATGCTTTATCATTCACAGTCACGTTATCGTTTTGGAAGGAAATTGGAGAATTGCCTATGACATATGTATTTTCATGCAAGCGAACACCAAATGTCTTGTCTAAATTACTTTTCTGCTGAGGTTCATGTGCAATAATCAAACATAGTTTCCTACGATCGAATCATCCAATAGCTGTTGTCTCTGCTCTATAGTTACATTTGAACTACTTTTAGTAAAATAAATTTCATTGAAAAATTACCGTTAATCGTGATAGATTGTTCGAAACAAAATGAATCGATCAAAAGTGCTCCTGTAGATGTCCGCCTAGAGTTTGACATGAGAGAAGATTTTCCTGATAATACTGCAGCCTATTGTTTAATTCTAGATGATCGAACTGAGCAGTATAATCCAATCAGCGGTGAGTTAAAGAAATTAGTTTAATATAGTTTACTCTCTAAATAAAATGTGATTAATACAATTAAACATAAGCTAAATAAATTAAATGTGTAACATAATATACATCATGTTAAATTTTATGAATAAAAGCATGTAATTTTAAATATATGTCTTTGCTTAATACCCTTAAACCGTCTATGATCTGCATTTGTGATAGACATAGACAACATAAGTTAAGAGGGTAGGTACTAAGCATAGATGCTCTCTCTTTCTGTCTTCCTGAAAGTAGTGGAGAAGCTTGATCACCCTCAAACCAGCTGTGATCTACATTTGTGATAAATATAGACAACATAAGATAAGAGGGTAGGTAGTAAGCATAACTGCTCACTTTTCTCTCTCTCTCTCTCTTTCTTTAAATAGATTTAAATGAAAATGACTAGGATAACAGGCAAGGATTAGCGAGGATTCAAGCAAATATAGCTCTCCTCCATGGAGAGAACTAAAATATCTCATCTATGAGAGAATGGTCCCAAGCCACGCTAAGCTAGAGCGTGGGAGGAAGAGAGAGAGAGAGAGTAAAAGCATACATTTACTACTATAACAGCGCATCCCAAGCTAGAACTATAGACAGCATACACTCCCCTCCACGCACCGTGGTCCACGCTTAACTAGAGCATAGAAGAGAGAAAGAGAGAGAGAGAGAGCACACGTTTACTACTACTATAGCAGGGCATCTCCATCAAGCCAGAACTATAGACAGTATGCGCTTGCCTCCTCCTCCGCGCGCTGTGGTCCACGCTGAGCCAGAGTTAGAAAGAGGGAGAGAGAGCACGCATTTACTACTATCCCCTCCTCCGCACGCTCGGGCCCTATACCAAATGTATGCGCGTATAGCAAATATACACAATAATCATCCTCTAAGGTACATGTAGCATTGGCCCCTTGTGGTAGAGCGCTAGCCTGCCAACCCAGAGGACGCCGGTTCGATTCTCCGATTTGTCTCTTCATTTTTTTCAATTGTCGCTATTTTCTATTCATTTCATTTCATTTCATTCATTTTCAATGTATCAAGTAAATTATCAATAATATTTATAACTTTTTAAAAATACATTTAATTAAATTAGACAGAAAGCAATAGGTATAGGGTCCCTAGGGACTAGTGTCCTAGTCCTCAGTGATGTCTTTAAAATCTAGTCTGATAATGATGTAGCGGTATAGGGGACCATTTTCTATTCAGTACTCTAGGTTGCTTTATGGTTTTTATGGTTTTGATGATGTTTGAACCTATAGTTTATTATATCGTTTGCATGGAGTGGAAATGGTGAGTATATTTGTTCTATGTCTGTACAACAGATCAGCAATGAAGTTATGCACTATAATGCGATTCATGAACATTACCGGGCCTAACATGCTCTTGTTGATGTCGGAATCGTTTCCATTTGTCATGGACGCAGCTAGATGTTCTCTTGTACTAGTCCAGTGATTGTTTTTGCCAATTTCTGTGGCGTGGTTATGTATGAATGAGGTGGATGCTACGATACTGATGAGGGTGCGTATGGTTCAATTACCGATTATTATTAATATTATGATACGGTCGTCTTTTAGTGTTCGAGACGGGCCTGAGGTTGGCTGATCCATCCCCGTAATTGTTTCTCTATGGGTAATACTTACAATTGCGATTAGTGTTCCACCTTTTCTACAGTAGGAATAGAATAACTTACTAGATTTCTGATATCTACAATGGCTGTGACTTGGTTATTTACATTTCCAGCAACATTTTCCCAGTCATACGTTATCGGTGTTGCTACGGCTAACTCAATGTTTTTGCGGAACGGGTTTGCTGTTGGGTTTTTGAGAAGTTGAAAATTCTCGATTCTTTCTACTTTTTTAATCTAGTTCTAGGAGTCAATAATCGTCTATCAACTTGGATGCAGTGCTCTAGTTTCATGTTCTGATTGATGCGATCGAGCTATTGCTTGGGCGTAAAGCTTTTTCGGACGCCTTCGTTTGATTCCTGCTTATGGCAGTATATTTGATAAATATAAAAATTTGATTAATTTATCACTAACGTCACTTATTTTAGTAAATGTGGTAATACTATTTACATAATTATCCGCATTATCTATAAAATAAAAGGTAAAATAAAAAAATCTTAGTTTAACGTCGTCTGTTCATATTTGTACATATATCAAACATGAAAAAAATATTATACTTTATTGCAAAAATTGAGTCTATGAATAAAATGTGGTAATTTTGCAATTATATAATTTTTCAAAGAAACATTCACTAAAACCATAAGGTATTTCCAATTTCAAAAAATATTCAATAGATAAAAATTTATTAACATTGAAAGTTAGTAAAAACATGAAATATTTTACCTTCAACTTGTGAAATATACAGTTTAGAAAAAAATTATTTTTCATCTTATAATGAATCATAATTACTAAACAAAAAATGTCCAGTTCAAGAAAATGTATATAATTTTTTTAATAAGACAAATTTCTATGCATTATTTGAAAAATGTAGTGAGGAATTGGAAGGAACAAAATACAAGAGAATAACAGGTGTTGACCTGAGGCATTGGTATTGCATATATGATTGTACCTAGCTCTTGGACTACTATAATCTATATACAGTAAGGGAAATCTTCCTACATACTTATTATGAAAGCTAAAAATCAGACAAATATATGCATTGCAATCTGTTTAATATGTAAATATTTTTTTATATACTATAACAGAAAATTGTCACAGTTAAACATTTGAAAAAATACAAATGAAATTTTGAAAAAAGTACATGTATCGAATTAGACAAATCTCATCTACAGTAGTTTTTGAAAAATAATATATCTATCTATACAGATATATTTCAAATAAAGTTATAAATCATAGGCAAATATCTTATAAATCATAAACGAATATGTTAAAACCTAATGATAATTAAGTTGTCAGATACAATAGCCAGTTCAATGTACTTTAAAATAGGAAGAAAGAAAACCAACTTGATATGATTCCTATTTTGTATCGCTAACATCACAAAAACTGCTAAAATTTTAGATTCAAAAATGTTATTTAGTATGAGAATCAACTTAATTATATATTTAAAATTTTGACTTTTATAGGATATTGAGCATGTTATACCATAGCATTGTTTTGTATAAGTTGTATATTTTGAAATTTTAATTTTGCTTATAACAGTTTTAGTTTGATATAATCTTAAAAATCAATGTTAGCATAAAGAAGAGATAAAAGTATGAATTATGTTTAATGATACTGCTCTATTAATTAATATTAAAAAATATAAAATATTTAAATATTATAATAAATTAATTAAAATAAAATTAATAATGCAAATGTATTTATTACAAGAATATAAAAAAATTCAATGAAAATAAATATTAAATTAGGACAATTTGTTATTCAATAAATTGAAAATACCATAAATTATTTATTATAAATATCAATGTTGATCACAGTAATCAATATACATTATAACATTTAGTTTGATTTAGATTGACCATAGTTTGATAAAATATATATGTAATCTTACGAATGTATAATTTACTTTTATCTTATTATTTGGTAAATTAAAAATACCTACCTGTAGAAATTCCTTGCAAAATTTGTGTTTCAAAATGTATACACCAACAATTCTTGCAAAATAAATGTCCACAATTCAATGTACTAAATTGCTCTATTGATAAAGATGAGTAACATACTAAACATACATTTTCTGCTGGACATTTTGTAAAAGGAGATTCTAATAGCTCTGAAATCTTCATTTTTTGACAAACGGTCACATCTAGTGTTTTATTTTGATAGTTAGAAATTATTTCTTGAATTGCCCATTTGTAAGCATGTAAATATAACTTTGCCATAGATGGGGTAATATTTAACGTTGTGCTTAAAAATTCAACATTTTCATTCAATAATCTTTCGACTTCATCAACTCTCAAACATTCATACACTGTATACTCAGGATCTTTTCCATGCTTTTCAGAATCAATATCATTATCATTTTCACCATCCCATGGATGTGTACTATAGTAGTCTTCATAACCAGCATCTCCACAGTCTGAATCAGAACAGTCCATATCACTTTCACATTCAACTTGAGACATGATATATGTTCAAATCATGTTTTTATAATGAAAATTATTTTTGATTATTAAAAGCAGAATTCATATTATTTATTTTATATTAGTTATAATGAATAGAACTCCTAAAAATTAAGATTTTAGGATTGATTTTCGAAAATCATTTTTATATGTTAACAAGGATATTGTTATATATATGCACATTACAATTTTGTAAGCATTAATATACTCATGAAATTCCGTAAAAGTAATAAAAAACAGGCAATATCAGTAATATTATAAGAAAACCTTTATTTATAAGGATATTAAAAATTCTTAAACGGGAACGATTATCATTATTATCTAAATTACTCAATTATTTGACTAATATAACGTATCATGATTTGTTCAAAATCTTTATAAAAATCACAATAATGAATCATCTGTCGCTTCCATCAACACCAAATACATTTTTTATCAATTTAAGAATTTCAGTTGTCTTGTTCTGTTGTTTAAAACTTCAAACAAATGAAGTTCTCAGTCTTCTGATACCTTGTCTAGGGTCCTGTCCTGAGACTTTTGAGTTGACATCTGACCTGAGCAACGCTGGGATAAAATTGTATGTCCGTTTATAGAAGGACTCAGACATTTAGAAATGACATCAAATTTTGACACGACCAGACACGGATAAGAGCAGTGTTACTGCGCAGCTATATGTGCGCCGATTATAAGGGAAATTTGAAGTACGCTTGTATGAAACAAAATATAATTTTACAGAAATAGATATAAATAAAATCTAGTAATTACATAACTAAAATCAATATTAATTAAATTACAATAATAATAAATTAAAATAAAGTGCGATGATAGTTTATATAATTTTAGCAGTGGCAAACTACAGGGCAGCAAGTACGTTAAATGGCATATGTATTTGGTGAAGCACAATTAATCACACTCTAACTAAGACCTATTTAAGAAATAAAAAAGTATGACAATAAAATGAATTGAATTTGAAAGAACTAATCTAACTAATTATTTATTTTAAGCTAATACAGATATGCTATATAGCGTAAATTTACATTCGATTTTGTTATGTCTAGGCGAGGAGATGTTACTGCTAGACGTAATGATGTATAAAATACTGTCGCGTTGGTAAAAGTTGGATCTTAGTCAGGAGTTAAGCAGAGGTTGGTTAAAGGGATAGTGCCTTTAATATATGCAGCATGTTTAGGTAGATAACTTAGTTTCTTACCTTGTTAGGATTGGATTTCAGAAGAGGTTTTTACAAACAGTCTCAGGTGTTTGCGCTTGATTTAAGATTTATTGTTTAAAGACAATTTTTATAACGCTTAGCAGAGTATAATTCCGGTTCTGAGTAGCCGGATAGCGAGACTTAAAAATAACTCAATTAGTACTGCGCGAAACGTATGCTGTGCGAGCTGAACTGCTCTCAACTGCTGAACTGCCTTTTGCGGATCCCGATCCAGCCTTTATATACCATAGGCTGATGTGCCCCTTCCTGTGATTTCGCCGAATTAATATGCGGTGAGTAATATATTCGCGGAAATATTATGGAGAACGTGCTTAGACTAATCTATCCTGCTAAATAGATTTACAAATGTTCCCGGGAGGGTTGATACGATAGGAAATTAAATTACCGATACCCGGTTTGTTACCATAACCCGTTATTTACTTATCATAATTCGTCACGTACTTTTTCTTTTCTATCGACGTGACATGCCCACCCCTCGGAGTCCTTTGCTGATAAAGCAAGGGACTAGCGCTCTCCGAGCGCTACTATAACTATTTTGTTGGAGTATATATATTTTTTGTTATCTTTTTTTGTGTCTTATCATTCTACATACATATTTGTATTGTTTCGTTAAATATTTTTGTGTTGGTTTATCTTTGTTATACATATATATACCTTTTTTTATATCTTATTTTATATATATTTTTTGTTTTTTTTGTTATTATTATTATTATTATTTAATTATTCTAAAAATAGGAAGGACTTGGGATAGAATTACAGCAACTCCAAACGATGAACCTGCAAACTCCTCTGGAACCTACATAAAACCTCCTTGCCGATACATTTGGCACAAGGAGCATTACTGAGCATAAAATGCTCCGTGTGGACACATTCGGCCTCCATGGCCAGTTGTTGGTCTTTTGAACGGGCTGCGACGCGCGCCCGGCAGAAGAAACACCCCTGCCAATGTGCGGTGTCTTGTCCGCACACACGGCATGGCTTGAAAGGGGCTCGTCCGAACCCCTCTCCTCCATAGGTTTCCTCGAAGAGGAATCTTAGGTGCAGGTGTCCGTGGTGGGCCTCCTGGAAAATATACTGCGTCAGCTGGTGGTGGTTCCAGCCTCCATCGTCGTCCAATAGTGGCAGCTCAGGATGTTGCATGCTCATCTGGGCCTCCCGGTTCTCTCATCTTGTAATTAATTTTGTTAAGATACTGAAATACTGGTAGTGAATATAATTTGAAACTCTGTGTATTGCTGCTTGCGACAAGGGGAAAAATTACTTAGACAATGATGTTCTTACGAAAATAGACTACGGTAACTTCTGCAATTTGTTGTAGTGTTATGATATTGATTTTTGACATATGTACTGCCAACTTTGAATTAGTAATTGCCTTGATAGTTTTTATCGCATTTAGCAAAAATTGCGGATTGAAAGAAAATTGTTTGTTTTGCAGGAGTTGACGTACTTCAGTTGATATGTAAATAAACTTATGTAAAATGTCGTTAATTTCGGCTAAAATAAGGCTAATATGTGTAGAATTATATACTGGTCTCATTGCGCTAGTAATAAAATCTGCGCGAGTTTTTCTAAAAAACAAAAGATTTGTTTCTGATTGTAAATTACACAAGCCAACAAATCTCAGAACCTGAGACCGGACCTAGTGTACCCGAAGTATTTTGGTGCGCTGAAAACGAATCCGAGCTCAGAATTTAGCCTATACGTCTGAGTTGCGAGATATCCTAACCTAAAAGTGCAAAAAACACCGTTTTTTGCTATTTTTGAGGTTACATAGCATCTTGAATAAATTTTTTTTTCCAAAACGAGGAAAAGCATCACAAAGGAGCACTCTTGTCCTTTGAAATCCATTTTTCAGATTCAAGATGGCTTTTTTTTTCGTCGAGATATCATTGATTGAAGTTAAATATATTCGGAGTATTGTAACAACGTTAAAACAGCCTATGTAGCATATGTGAGGCTATAAGCCCAATTTATAAGTGATCGTATTCGATCGAAAAAATCTATATATGGGTTTTTGAGGTTGCTGTTAAAGAATATAAGGACAGATTTTGAAAATTCAAAATGGCGGATCCAATATGGCGCACCTAAAATTTTATAAGTGATCTTATTCGACCGAAAAAATGTATACATGTGTTTTTGGGGTCACTGATCACGAAGTCAGATTTTGAAACTGAGGCAACCCTAAACCCTGTAACCTGCGAGGCTATAACCCCAAACCCTCTAACCCCAATTTCCTTAACCCCCGAACCTTGTAACCTGCGACCCTGTAACCCCAAACCCTCCGACCCCAATTTCCTTAACCCGCGAACCCTGTAACCTGCGAGGCTATAACCCCAAACCCCGTGAACCCAATTTCCTTAACCCCCGAACCTTGTAACCTGCGACCCTATAACCCCAAACCCTCTAACCCCAATTTCCTTAACCCCCGGGCCCTGTAACCTGCGACCCCAAGACGCTACACCCCCACTTACTCAACCCACAAACCCAGTATCTTGCCGCCCTAGAGTCCAAAACCTTTATATCTACCGTGCGATTATGAGGAAACTGGCCATAGGCCATCCCGTGTTACCATTTAGTTTACATGGAAAAGCAGGTAGGTGACCTGAAAAGACCCCCTGCAATTTATACCTGCTTTCCCATATAAACTAAATGGCAACACGGGATGGCCTATGGCCAGTTTCCTCATAATCGCACGGTATATCATACTTTAGTTTTGGTAATGTCACCAACCAATAGTTGACAATTGAAATGTTATTTCCAACATTGTCTGAAAATTACATGACTCCATATGCTAAACATTGTAAAAAATACTGAACTTAATCGATTTTCAATTTTTTTTATCATAACTTTACTAGAGTTGGATCATGAGACTTGATTTTCTTAGAATATTCAAAAATGTGATAAATTTTAAGTTATCATAAATTAGAAATCACGTTTCAGTTACAGACTGAAAGTGTTATCCGCTGGTTCAAATTGTGATCATTGTTCAGAAAATTTTTTCTTCTTCGAGGTTGCTCTGGAATAGTAAGCTGACAGTTTAAGAGATATATGAAAACACTCGTTTCTTTTTATTCCTTCCGTGTTAGAGATCACGTTTGAGTAGCAGGCTAACGGTTCGGTGCACATGAGAAAAAGTGTATTACTAGCAATATTTCAGTAGCATAGAAAAATTGATAGAAGGAGTTTCGCCTCTAGAATAGTTTAACTACGCGATTGATTTGAATACTCGATTTACAAGATATCACGTTTGAGGTACAGGCTAAAATTTACAGCCACCGGTTTGAATACCTTTTGGAAGACTTTTCAACTTCGAAGTTACTCCGAAATGCTAGGCTAAAGAAATTTTATGTTTTTTTAGTCCCTTCCGTGTTAGAGATCACGTTTGAGTGGCGGGCTAACGGTTGGATGCATACGTGAGATTGATATTGGTATAGTTTTTTACTAGCATTTTCTCTTCATTAGAAATTTATTTATAAGTGCGAGTGTGTAATTAAAAATTGTGGAAAAGGTCTCTTTGAATAGGTAGTTGGTCCAATATATTTTCTCGTGTTGGAGATCCGGCTAACTTGTTGATTCTGTGTGAATGGTAACTGTCAAAGTTCATCATTCCGTAAGACAAATTACCGAAAGATACATTTAATTATTATGTTATTATTTAATTTACTATTTACAATGAGTTCGCGAGTTTCTTGTTTTAATAAAGTAAACACATTTTGTTATATATGTGGAAAATATGATACGGAAAAATACCGTAGACCAATAACTACATCTATACAGACATTATACAATAATTGCTACGGGCAACAGATGACGAGTTTAGATAAAACATGGGTACCTAAGTCAATTTGCAATACGTGTAGACAATTTTTGATGAAATGGAATGGAAAAGATACAATGACAGATGTCGTCATTCGGCCAGCTATATGGCGCGAGCCAAGAGATCATACAACAGATTGCTACTTTTGTTTATGCGATACAACAGGTTTCAAAAAACAATATTTGTACAAAATAGAATATCCTTTTGTAAACAGCATAACACCAGCAGAAGTAGAAACTATGAGAGGTTCTGAGAAAAGAGTCGATGAATCTGACCCGGTATCAATGGATACCGAGGAAACAGATGAGACTGGAGAATTTCCTTTTGAATCTAGTTCGGATGATGAAAGTCCTAAATTGTTTGACCAAAATGCATTGAATGATCTTATTCGCGATCTAAACCTACCGAAAGACAAAGCTGAGCTTCTTGCCTCCAGGCTTAAAGAAAGGAACCTACTGTCATCCGGTACTAAAGTTACTGTTTACAGAAAAAGAGAAAAAGAGTTTCTTAAATTTTTTTCAAAAGAAGATGGAATAGTTTTTT